GGCCCTGCAGGACTGCAGACGTGGGGACTTGCGGTGCAGTATGAGGAAGTCCTTCCTGTGTTAGAAAAGCCCAGATCCTTCAGGCATCTTTGTCCTTCCCTTCCCCTCTGCATGCTGCAGGAGGGTGGGGAACACTGAATTACCCTGAACCTCCAAGCATTGTCTTGCAAATTCCATATTCTGGGTTGCCGAAAGGTCCCTCTGTGGCTCTGGGGCTGAACGGGCAGCGCTGCAGCCCTGTCCGGCTCTGCTGTTACACGAGATCCTGGATCTTCCTTTGTCAGCAAGGAAAACAGCGGCTGCCCCTGGAATCAGCCCATGTCCGGCTGTTGTAGCCCAGGTGTGCGGGCTGTGGAATGAGCCCTGTGCTCTGCAGCTCTGTCGTGGTGGCTCTAGACAGTGATTTCCATCCCCAGTGTGTTTTGTAATAGAGCCCTGAGGGCTCATGCAAAGCTTTGGGATCATCTGGGCAGATGTGGAAGCTGCTGTTTATCAAAGCTAAACATCCTACCTGTATCTGAGTTGCTGAAACAAGACTGCTGAGAGGAAAGACTGGCACAGGTAGGAAGCTGTGTTCAGCTGATGTCTTTGTGATGGAAACACAGGTGCTTTTCCTCAGCTTGGTGTCGTTAATACTTTGGGAGGATTACTAGGAGGTGCTGTAAAAATTTTTGATCGTCAGAAGCCTGGGAAAATTCGTTCAGCTGTATTTTTAACTTTTGGATTCTGTTATTTTATATTTGGGTTCTGTTTGAACAGTATTTCATAGAATCATAGAATCACAGAATGGTTTGGATTGGAAGAGACCTTAAAGCTCATCCAGTCCCAACCCCCCTGCCAGCAGCAGGGACACCTTCCACTAGACCAGGTTGCTCAAAGCCTCATCCAACCTGGCCTTGAACACTTCCAGGGAGGAGCAGCCACAACTTCCTTGGGCAACCTGTTCCAGTGTCTGACCACCCTCACAGTGAAGAACTTCTTCCTAATATCTCATCTAAACCTCCCCTCTTTCAGCTTAAACCCATTTCCCCTTGTTTTGTCATTAACTGCCCTTAGGAAAAGTCCCTCCCCAGCTTTCTTGTAGCCCCTTCAGGTACTGGGAGGCCACTATAAGATCTCCCTGAAGCCTTCTCTTTTTCAGGCTGAACAGCCCCAACTCTTTCAGCCTGTCTTCATAGGAGAGGTGCTCCAGCCCTCGGATCATCCTGGTGGCCTCCTCTGGACTTGTTCTAACTGGTCCATGGTCCATTTGATTTTAGTGAGGTTACTGTTAGTAACACTGTGCTCGATTGGGAACGTCAAGGCCTTGATGTTCAGGTGAGTTCCCTGTTGGATGTAGGTGAGTAATGACCAGTCAAGAACTTGGCAGTTCTGGGCTATGTCATCATCTCAAAACCTTCAGGAGCTCTGAGTCAGCGTTCCCCTCTCTTACCAAATACTATGAGGTAAAGATGACTCTGGTATGCTGGTCTATAGGGTGGCATTCTCGGACGCTTTCCCTGTGACTAGTGTGTCTAGAAGATTGAATGTTTAAAGGAGTGAGTTACTTGCAGTAACTCAGCTTTTAAAGCAACTTCAGAGCTGTGCTTTAAGAAATGTGCTAAATGTTAGGGTACCTGTGATCTACTATAAATGCTAATGGTGCTGCTCGTGGAGGTTGGTTCACAGGGACAGTTTTCTTAATGCATTTTAGTGTTGGATGCCTGCTGAGAATTCTTCTTTCAACCATGGGCGGAAAACTTTCACTGTTCTGGAAAATGCCTGATGAAAAGGAGAGCGAAGGCAAACTGATCTTACCCAGGCAGCTGGATGCTGAAGATGAAATCGCCAGTTACGCCAGTATCAATGACTCTGCTGCGTCCTATGTGGTGGGCGTTGCACGTCGAAGCTACGTCAACTGCCCAACGTGTCAGGGAACAGGAAGGATCCCTGGGGGTAGGTGATTCTTCTGGATGCTGTGTCAGTGCTTTTTGAGCCTTCTGAGGTTGGTGTCTCCCTAAAGACCTTGGTTGAACCAGTTGATCTTTATTGTATCCAGTCTAGGAATGTCCTATCTTGGTACCTCCAGCTCACTTGTAACTTCTGTGGGCTGCCTCTGCTGGGGGGGGTGGATGGGAAGGTAGGTAGTGCTGTTTCTAGGTGATGACTCAACACCTACCCTGGACACTAGGCTGCTGTGCAATGTCCTGATATGCAGTTTTCTTTATTTACTTGTGTGCTTAGTGTGGTCTCTGACTTGCTGCCACCTCTTTTAGAGCAAGAGAAGCAGCTGGTGGCTCTGATTCCATATGGTGACCAGAGGCTGAAACCTAGACGAACGTAAGTCCTCTTAAATTTTCCCCTTTTCTCATCTTTTGAATGTTTCTTCTGCATATGAAGGAAAGCCTCAGTCCTTTGGGTGTTTTGCTCTTTGTGCTCTGACTTTCAGTGAGCTTGGTGTTTACTGTGTCTTTTCAGCAATAGCAGATGTTGGACAGTCTTCTGTGTGCGATTGTTGGGGATGTCTGGTGATCTGTACTATAATGCACCATGTCAGTGTGTGGGACTCCACCCTGCTTCTGCTGTGATTTGGTAGCTGGCAAATAGTTCTGCACGTACTCATCCCAGTTTTCTGGCACCCAGGTTTTTATTGTGTCCTTCCTTTGAGCTGGAGCAGAACTGCAGGTGCTTTGCAGCTGACAAACCAAGAGAATAATTGTGGCACTGGTGCTGTTTTGCAGGAAACTCTATGTATGTCTTGCTGTGATAATCTGCCTGCTGACAACATCTCTCAGTATTTTCTTCCTGTTTCCTCGTTCCATTACTGTGCTGCCTGCAGGACTGAATGCCTCTGCCGTTGGCTTTGGTGCCACCACCACTAGTATAGACCTCAACATGACGGTAAGTGCTCAGCACACAGTCAAAGAGTAGATCTGAAGGGCTTCCAGCTTATCTTCTGTGCCACTCCATGTGTAGGCTAACTATCTAATCACTCTCTGAAGTTAGTCTTGCCATTCACACCATCTCTGGCTGCATGGAATCAATGTTCAGAACATGTTACTACATCAGAGGTGTGACCGGCCTGGCTGCCAGCAAGCAAGTCACACAGTGTAGCCAGAGGGGCTGTGAAGAAGCAGCACTAATTCTGGGAACCCTTTTTCTTTTGCATCCTTGAGCTGCTGCCAGGGGACACCCTTTGACTGTTGTGGGAGACACTGCAGCATATGTTCCTTTGTGGTCAGGCTGGATGTACGTCTGAGGATTTGGAAGGGGTAATGTGGTCCAGTGTTGCTGTTAGGGTCGTAGCAGGGATATATTTAAAGGAGCTTTTCAACAGTAACATATGACTCTGCTGCAAGCTGAATTGTGTTTTATTGTGGGTTTTTTTGTTTGTTTGCTTATGTCTCTCCCTAGAATGTGCTGAACATAACTAATAACAACTTCTACCTGGTCACTGTTGTGCAGCTAGACATAGAGGTTTTGCACCAGTCTCTAGTAGTAGGGAAGACCACCATGAAAACCCTGCTAAATATGAGTCCTTTGCAGAGCAGCCAGGTGAGTTTTGCTGTTTCTTGCATTTTCTCCTAAACTAATCTGGATGTCCTGGACAGGGAGGTGCTTAATCCACTCCCTTGTCATCTGTCTGGCAAATACTCAAAGCTCTTCCAGGTGCAGCTTCCCACATCCCACTCTGGGAAGGGGTGTTGTAAGAATTTACGTGTTGCTGAGTTTGAAGATAATATGTTCCTCGGCATGGAATGTCTGTCTACTCTTTGGGTAGTGGGCTGGGTTGTGTGCTTGCCTTAAAATGATGGCAAGCTTATAAACATGTTAGACAAAACCCTGGTGGGAACAGTTTGAGCACAGCTGATCCATTCTTGGTGTAAAGGTCGGGTGTGTGGCCTAGATGGCCTTTTTAAGGTCCTTTTAGATCTAATTTCTGATTCTGTTTTCTTACTTACTGTTAACAGTTGTTAGTCTAGATCTTGAAATTCAGGTTCAGACGCCTGGTGAGAGTCCAGTTCTCCCCACTTCAGCTCTCTGAATTGTATACAGACATAACTGTAGTTCTTGTGTATTTCCTGCTTTCTCTTCTGTTCACATTTGCAGATCTATTATATGGTGGCCAGTAGGATATTGGACGAAAACACCTAGTGAGTAATTCTTGAAGATTTCTTCCCTTGACTAGTGAGTGACATTAATGCTTATAGGCTTTTCATGACTAGATTTCTTGTGCTGGTCCTGTCTGTAGAGCAAAGCTGAGTGAGTGTCCCCTTCTCAGTTTAATCTGTGGAGCTGATCTGGATATAGGTCTGGCATATCTGTTTTAAACTCATTTCCTTTTCTATTTATTGGTATTCTCTGCTTAGTGTTGGCTCAACAATGTCATTTTCTGTGCATTCTGATGAGTAAGGGATGATAATCAATTTGATGTCTAGGTTGTTAACTTTAAGAGCTCAATTTGTGAGCAGCGTTTCTCTGCAGATGACCAGCAAACTCTGTGAAGAAGTTTATAGCAACCAAAGCTTCTGTGCATTGCATATTTGTGAGGCCCACGCTTACTGGATCCACAGTTAGAGTTACACCAGCAAAAACACGTTTTACTGATGTAGATACTGCTGTGCTTGAAGAACTTTGCCTGCATAGCTGTCATCAGAACATTGCAAAGACAGACCTTTTTGGAGAAGCAGAGAAGCAATGGAGTAAGTGAGGACAGGAGACACATAGTGCAGGCAGCTCCTATGAAATTAACTTTCTCTTTTCTCTTGTAGTAACATTTGCACCTGGACAAAAGTCAAAGTTCACAATGTTCTGCTGCATATCCAGTAAGTGATGTCTGGTTCAGAGCTATAACTAATGCCCATGTCACCTACGTTGTTTCTCAACTTCCTTCAAGAAGGTCTGCAGTCACTGTTAAAGCTTTAAGACCAGGACTGCTTGCAGTGTGAATGTGCTGTTACCCAGACCAGTGTGCTGAGGTGTGGGGAGGAGATAATTCTCCATCACTGCCCTGAGAAGTCTCCTGGATTCAGGCTGACTGACAGCTCAAGCTGTCCCTGTTGCTTGAGGCATGCTGGCCTGGCAAACTTCCTTCTGGAATATTGATTGTAGCTGTTGGGAAGTAATTCTTTGGTCCAGAGCTGGAAGTACTGAGTGGTTTCATTATGCCTGCTTGCCTTGTGTTGGGGGCAGACTTATTCAGCCTGGACTGTGTGTGGATGATTGCCTCCAAGTGTTCTCACAGCAGTTGCCAAGAGCAAGGCAGGAGAAAGCAGGCTTTGCTGGGGTAGGAAGTCTTAATGGATTTCTAGAATGGCTGACACATCTGTTGTGAGGGTAGTGATCTGGTAAAGCTTTCTTTAATGCAGTCTGAAAGATGCTTTTCCTCTCCAACACATGAAATTGAGCTGAGGGTATCTTGACTGTCATGTTCTGGGACTACACGATAGAGACAAAACAGAGTGGCAGTGGGAGCTGACCGTGGGACCTTTGCATTACAAGAAGTCTCACCTGGGACAGTGCAGTGACAAGTGCAGTTCTGATCTGCTTTTACCTTGCAGGGGGACCCTGACCTGCACATACCTGTGTCATTCAGAGCAGCTGGCTTTTGAAGACTACCAGTATGTGGACTGCCGGGGGAATGCCACGCTACCCCACCCATTGTACCACCAGCCGCCGTAACAGGACCAGGTTGGCAGAGCTTTTGGGTGCAGCATATTCCACCACAAAGGCAAATCATAGGGAGACAAACTTCTGGGGCTTCTCAATCTGTGCCTTAAACAGGAGGCTCGGTGTTTCCTGGATAAGACTTCTCTCTCTCATGCAAAGATGGTAACATACTTGGCCTTTTGAATGTAGACTCTGCTGCCCTCACACTGCAGCTTTCTGTTTCAGTGTCTTCTGGCTGATGCTTCAGCAGAGTGACCAGTGCACGGGGTCACTGCTGTTTCACTGCTGCTATGGAAGCAGTGCCCTATTAGTCAGACTAACTCTGGTTGTTTCCTCCTTGCATAATTTTGCACTTCTGTCCTGAGTTTAAGCATTTTATAGCTTGAAAAAGAAGGACTATGACGAGGCTTTTTGGCTGGATTGCATCTGCATCACCAGAACCTGGTAACATTTGCCCAGCAAGAGCAAGAAACAGGACTGATATCTCTGTATCTTTGAATTTTAAGAAAAACTACTGCATGTCATCCCAAAACACCTTGTGAGGGTGACTCTTGGGTGACTGCTGTTTTAAGCTGTCCGGTATGGCAGGTGAGAATATGCATTTTTGTATATATGTATTATTAAAACAAGGTCACCTACTAGCTGTTCCTTAATGGCATTCATTTCAGTGAGTGCTGCTTTCCAGCCAGCGGTGTGTGGTGGCTGGTACATGCTGGGTTTTGTATATTTTCTTGTTTGCTTTGGCATTTAATGCTTTCAACTTGAACAAGCATGAGAGAGAGAGTTCATCTCTCACTGGAACAACTTAGTTTGTACCAATATCAGGAAAGGGGGTGAGGTTTGGGTTTGTTGTGGGGTGGTTTTTGGGGGGTGGGTATGTAATGCTGCACAGCCACCCAGCAGACTTCACAGGAGGAGCAGCCCTGGCAGCCTCTCTCCTCCCGGGGCTGGCAGTTGGCTCCCCCAGGCCATGGGGGCGGTTGAGGTGCTGCCCGGTGCCTGCGCGGTGGTGAAGGGGGAGCCCGGGAGCTGCTGCACTGAAATGTGTACCCGGCAGCGCCGCACTTTCCTGTATCCGTCCCGCTGAAGGACGGAACCGAAGGGTCGGAGCTGAGACCAGGGCGTTCCCTGGAAGGGCTCCGGGTTCGGCTCCGCC